GGATTGTTGAAGCGACCTGGAAATTCCCCTTAGAGCTCTGACATCAACAAAGGATTTTTATCCAGTAAACTGCCGCTCGCTGGATATTTTCATTTTTTTCACATATACAGGGAGTGCAGAATTATTAGGCAAGTTGTATTTTTGAGGAATAATGTTATTATTGAACAACAACCATGTTCTCAATGAACCCAAAAAACTCATTAATATCAAAGCTGAATGTTTTTGGAAGTAGTTTTTAGTTTGTTTTTAGTTTTAGCTATTTTAGGGGGATATCTGTGTGTGCAGGTGACTATTACTGTGCATAATTATTAGGCAACTTAACAAAAAACAAATATATACCCATTTCAATTATTTATTTTTACCAGTGAAACCAATATAACATCTCCACATTCACAAATATACATTTCTGACATTCAAAAACAAAACAAAAACAAATCAGCGACCAATATAGCCACCTTTCTTTGCAAGGACACTCAAAAGCCTGCCATCCATGGATTCTGTCAGTGTTTTGATCTGTTCACCATCAACATTGCGTGCAGCAGCAACCACAGCCTCCCAGACACTGTTCAGAGAGGTGTACTGTTTTCCCTCCTTGTAAATCTCACATTTGATGATGGACCACAGGTTCTCAATGGGGTTCAGATCAGGTGAACAAGGAGGCCATGTCATTAGTTTTCTTCTTTTATACCCTTTCTTGCCAGCCACGCTGTGGAGTACTTGGACGCGTGTGATGGAGCATTGTCCTGCATGAAAATCATGTTTTTCTTGAAGGATGCAGACTTCTTCCTGTACCACTGCTTGAAGAAGGTGTCTTCCAGAAACTGGCAGTAGGACTGGGAGTTGAGCTTGACTCCATCCTCGACCTGAAAAGGCCCCACAAGCTCATCTTTGATGATACCAGCCCAAACCAGTACTCCACCTCCACCTTGCTGGCGTCTGAGTCGGACTGGAGCTCTCTGCCCTTTACCAATCCAGCCACGGGCCCATCCATCTGGCCCATCAAGACTCACTCTCATTTCATCAGTCCATAAAACCTTAGAAAAACCAGTCTTGAGATATTTCTTGGCCCAGTCTTGACGTTTCAGCTTGTGTGTCTTGTTCAGTGGTGGTCGTCTTTCAGCCTTTCTTACCTTGGCCATGTCTCTGAGTATTGCACACCTTGTGCTTTTGGGCACTCCAGTGATGTTGCAGCTCTGAAATATGGCCAAACTGGTGGCAAGTGGCATCTTGGCAGCTGCACGCTTGACTTTTCTCAGTTCATGGGCAGTTATTTTGCACCTTGGTTTTTCCACACGCTTCTTGCGACCCTGTTGACTATTTTGAATGAAACGCTTGATTGTTCGATGATCACGCTTCAGAAGCTTTGCAATTTTGAGACTGCTGCATCCCTCTGCAAGATATCTCACTATTTTTGACTTTTCTGAGCCTGTCAAGTCCTTCTTTTGACCCATTTTGCCAAAGGAAAGGACGTTGCCTAATAATTATGCACACCTGATATAGGGTGTTGATGTCATTAGACCACACCCCTTCTCATTACAGAGATGCACATCACCTAATATGCTTAATTGGTAGTAGGCTTTCGAGCCTATACAGCTTGGAGTAAGACAACATGCATGAAGAGGATGATGTGGACAAAATACTAATTTGCCTAATAATTCTGCACTCCCTGTATATCATCTGTAAACTCTGGATATGGTTGTGTTCTAAAATCCCAGCAGATCTGCAGTTTCTGTAATACTCACACCAGCTCGTCTGGCACCAACAACTGTGTCACATTCAGAGCCACGTAAACAACCTTCCTTTTTCTTTTTTTTACTGATGCTCAGTTTGAATTTCAGCAGGTTGTCTCGACCATGTCTACATGCCTAGGTGCAATGAGTTGCTGAATACTGATTGATTCAGACATTGTTAGTAATGAGTAGCTCAACAAGTGTACTTAAAGTGGCCAGTGAGCGCGAACAGATGAATAAAAAGGACAAATAATTTTTTGCTAAATAAAATTGAAAGAAAAACACAAGTCCGATAATTTATTTATCAATATACCTGCAACAATGTCCATGTCTCTTTATTTATACAGCATATTCCATTACATGTTGCTTAAGAAAAATAAATGTAAAAAAAAGTAGGTGTACAGCGTCTTAAGGCCATAAAAACTAAATAATAATTAATATTAGAGATATTTTATATTTTAAAACAGTTGTTACTAATGCTATATTATTAGAAGATACAGCTTAAGTAATTCGGTTTCTGTTGGAACAAACTGTAATTTCCCAAATTACAATTTGACTCAGTTCTGACTGCCTGCTTTCTCAGCACTTTGTTCTTGAGGACAGTAGATGGTGCTATAAGAGCAAATCTGAAAGAATTCACGCTTGAACATGAAACGTAATTGACCATAAAATTACCTCAAAAAAGACCTGAAATAAAAAGTATACACATGTCATATCTTTAAAACTCATTTGCAACCAGTTAAATGTACAAATGTGAATGATTATAGAAAAGGGTCAGCGTTAACATATTTATACATGTGCTGTACGTGAAGTACACATAAGTATGTTAAGAGTGTAAAAATAGTTTGATTACTTTTTGAATACTCTTTAACATTTTATATACTTCTTTATTATATCTTCAAGCATTAATGAGTTCATAAAGATGTTTCAAAAACTGCTTTTGGAAGAATACAAAACTGATAAAGTTGATGACTGATAGTATATATAACTATGCTAAATTGTATCTGAATTATAGCTATCACTGTAGCTATCTTTATACTTGTCCTTCATTCCTTATTGTGTGGGGGAAGTGATGAGGGGAAGTTGGGGTAACACTGAATATGATGATTCAATAGAGTGAGCGTAAGGTAGGGATTAATAAGTATGTACATATTTCTTCCTACTCCATTTCAGACTTAACGGTTGTCATTTCATGTAATTTAGATTCTATTTATTTTATTTTAATTTTTGTTTTTGTCTGAGAACGTGTGTGTGTGTGCGTGTGTGTGTGTGTGTGTGTGTGTATGTATATTTCTGAAATGAAGATGATGTTGTAGTAGTAGTAACAAGAACAGCACATTGGGTTTCATTCATATAAGCTCTTATGTAATAAAATAAAGGTGTAAACCTCCTAAAATGATAGCTGTTAAAATGTTTCATGTATCAAAATGTAGTTCTCACTTTTCTTGTTTTCCAAAAGGAAAAATGAGATGTAAAACATTTGGAATTCTTTACATTCATCTATACATCTGGCCAGTTGTTCATCTAATCTACGCTCCTTTTTGACAAAAACACATAAATAAACCATGAGTAATGACCATAGGCTCAGCCTGCTGGTCAGGCTTCTGAGGAAGAAAATATGACTGGAACTAATAGTTGGAGGCCAGTCAGTAATTGGAGGTGTAGGTTAGAGCTACTTTGACTTGTTAAACCACTTAAACATTTAGAGTTTTCTGTTCCCAGTGATGTGGACCACACCTTTAGGTTCATGAGTGTACCATTAAATAACTAGGAGACAACACAGAATACCCAAGTCTGCGATAAAGAACAAAGAGCCAGAGGACTCTGTCATTTTGGGGCAATAATTAAGTCACAACGTTGTTGCGATTAGAATTTTCTCTTTGCCTGTTACGCTTAACTACATAACACCTAATGACAAAAATAGATGCAATGACAACAACAATGACCACAATCCAAACCCACAGAAAGCGCACCCCAGGAACAGAAGACGCCTTCAGTGTATTGTTGCTGATGGGTGGTTTGACAAACGCTACAACGGGAGGAGTTGTGACTGGACCTTCATTAGGGTCCTCACAAAAGTTTCCGTCAACCTTTAGAAAGCCTTCAGGACATATGTCATAGCCAGCCTCTTGTATACTAGGGCATCTCTTTTGTGCACAGTGTGGTTTGCACTGCCTGGGGTCTTTGTTGTCTGGTATATATCGTTTGAAACAAGAGCATGTGTAACCCCCCTTAAAATCCTCACAATTCTGCTCACATGGTCCAGATGAACAGCCTTTATAGCTTTGAAAAAGGGTTGGATGCGATACTTCTTGTCCACGGCATGCATCTTGGAGCTCAACTTTGCACAGAAACCCATCGGCTTTATCTAAGCACGGTCTCTCTGTCCATTTTTCATCACTTGACAGTGATATGCAATGTGGAGAGCAGAGTTGAATGTGGTTATTCCAGGATGGAAGAAAGGTGATGCCCGGTCTGCCAGATATCCACTTATAGCCTCTCAGTGGAGCTGAGAGGTTGCTGCAGGCACCAGCTGGTAAATGCAGCCCGATCCAGTAGTTCCCAAACAATTCCTGACTCAGAATGTCAAACAACCTCTTATCACTCTTAGAGCACAACTGCAGAAGTTCTCCTTTCCTGTCATGGCAGGCTTCTTCAGCTGTTTTAAAATCCACTTCACCCTGGTTTAGAGTTATGCAGTCAGGTTTGCCATAATTACTGCAAACTGCTCTGCAGTGGTCAGGCTGCTTTATATCCAATCCTTTTCCAACAGTCAGTGAAACCATCAGAATAGTCATACTCATCCTAAGCACAGGCACTCTCGTCTGCAAGCAGGCCATGCTGTCTCATAGTGGAGTGCAAAAGGTTGCCTGTCTTAAACGATGGGGAATTTCCAGTCTTTGTGCCATTGCGGAAACAGGGTATCTCAGGAAGGAAATGAGATAAAGAAAAAAAAATTAGTTGAAGTAGGACCAGCAGCAACAAAATGAAGAACAACGTTTAGATATACTAAATATGCAAAGGGCTCTTATATAAACTGCCAAACTAATTCAAGTACTTGCCTAAAATCAAGATTCCCGATTTTATACCAAAATGTGAGCCGGCACACTGGACCTCTCTGGGAAGTCAGGAATTAATCAAGCAGAACAATTGATTGCTAATTTTTATTTATTTTTTTCTGGAATGTAAGGTTTAATTTGGCAACCTCATCAAAAACAGTAATGTGTTTAAAATAAATTCATGGATAATAACAATAATATTAAATTAAAAAAATTAAATTGGATTCAAATTCTAACAAATTAACCTTTACAGAAACATAAACAATAATTCTGGTAATAGAATGGGCTTCATGAATGGTAGTGCTATCTATATATGTAAATAAGAACAACAAAGAAAAACAAGCAAACAATCCATTTTAGATTTTATACTTGCAGTATATAAATTGACACCAGTTTCATCTTTACATGATGGTGTGTAGATGTGGAACTTCAATCAAAAAGACTTATTTGTTGGTGTGTACAAGTACATGTCATTGTCAGAGACTAAACAGGTTTACTTAAAGGTACTTCTTGTTCAACAAAAACAAGAAAATTACCAGCATTTTTAAACATTTTGAAAGGCACCTTTTGTTTTTTATCATAGTCTGAATCTGCTCTGTTTTAGCAGGATGGAGTTTAATAATATCTTTAAAAAGGCTGAAATGTGTTGTGCTGAACTCTGGGCAGGTCAAAATAACTCGCTGTATTATCACGTGGTCCAAATGAGAGTTTACAGCCAGAGCCTATTTCAACTTCATATCGCTGCAACACAGTACAAAAGCTTTGACCTTTGAAGCTCTTCTAAACAATTTTTTTTTCAAAAAGTACCTTTAAGTTCTTAAGAATGTTTGTGAGGTATACTCTCTGGAGAATATACGTGTTAGTCCACTTTTTACTTTTAGATTATATTATACTTCAGCCAGCTCAAACAGCAAAGTACCACCAACATTTTAATGCACCAGTAATAATGATCATATTATACAAATAATATCTCTTTAGTACTTTTACTTCGATACTTGTGTATTTTTTTCTTTTTTTGTTGTTTTATTTGGGGCACAGGTTGTAGAGTGATCAGTAAATGATCTAATGATCATTTTCTGTGATATTAAAGCTAAAGATCCTCTTTTGTTTTCATAGTACACAAGCACATTCTCAGGACAGGAGGTAATAGCAGGATTATACACAATAGCATAAAATATTGTCACAAACAAATGAAGAAAAGTGTCTGATCTTAACATTAAATGACTTTTTTTTTTTTACAGCAAATACTGGTAACTTTCTCATAGGTAAAGATATTTACATTGCCTCAGACTATTAACCGTGCAATAAAAACAGTCGTTACACATCCTTCATAACCTTTACAGCATATTATGCACTTCCACTTAACACCCATTTACTTTTTATTTTTCCCCCATTATGACTCTACTCTTATTCAAATACTATTTGATGGACAATGACGTTTTCTGATTTGCATTTTGATATGTAGTGTAATCACAGGAGATTGCAAGAATTGCATAAATAAACATAACTCTAGTCAGTCTTTTCTGTCACTAAATGGTCATGGGTCATCAGTCAAGATGGACTCGTATAGTTTCTCTAAACGTGGATCCAAGCCAGAGGACACCCAGCAGTAGCCATCTGCAGTGGTGTTCTTCTTCACTTCTTTTTTAGAGCGACTGCATCGAAAAATTGCAAAAAACAAAGTAATTGCAATCAACACAACAAGAGGAATGACTGAACCGAGGACGCAGATTATCACCCTGGAATTGATTGTCTTGGCGAAACTCGTGGCCATGGTTGTGTTGCTCAGTGGATCCTTGTTTGTAACTTTCTCCGGGTCTGGAATGGGTGAATCGGTTTGAGGATATGGGTGCTCAGTTGTAGAACTGGTTAAAGACTCTGTAAAGTTTTCTTGTGTCTTCTCATAAGATGGGTAATCTGATGAGGTTAATGGTGCAAAGGTCACATTTGGAGCATAAGTGGTTCCATCATTCTCCAGGTGGGTGCATATGAAGCTTCCTACAGTATTTACACATTCAAACTTAGCCCCTGAACAGCTGTCAGTCACACATTCATTAATGTCTTCACATGAATGGCCATCTTCAGAGAAAGCAAAGCCTTCCTTGCAAAAACAAGAGAACGATCCAATGGTATTCAAGCAGATGTGCTCACATTTCCTTTGTGCACACTCATCAACATCCCTGCATTTTCCATCCATCATTTTGTAGCCGACTTTGCAGGCACACTTATAACTGCCATGTGTGTTTATGCACAGGTCGTTCTTACAAGCCTGTGATTGGCACTCATCAATGTCAGAGCAGTTGCGTTGGTTTTCGTGCAGTTCGAAGCCAACTGGACATTTGCAGAAATATCCCGACTCGCTCATTACACACTGATGCTCACAGGTGTCAGGACTGCACAAGTCTTTGATCCTGCAGCGGAGTCCATCTTTTTCCAATTCATAACCTTCTCTGCAATCGCATCGAATTTCATCTGCATCCTGACGGCACGAATGTTCACACCCACCATTGCTGATATCACAGCTTCGCTTTCCTGTTTTGCAAAAGGGGCCCAGATTAGTCCACCGGTAGGTATGGTTAACAGCGTTGCACAAAGACATGCGATCCTCCTGATCGCTACACCGAATTATAGCAAAAGTTCCATGAGGAAATGACTTCAGTTGACTTTTAAGTGGGTCTTGTGAGAAAGGTACTGTGTAAGCGATTTCCCCAGGCCCCAGTAGAGCCAAAGGTTCACACATCCCCTTAAAATAAAACTTGCATGCATAAAAAGCTTTACGTTTTTTGCAAGGGACAGCAGTCCATTTCAGGTGATTCTCACTTGAAAAGTTGTAATCAATATTTACACATCTCTCTGCTAAGCATGTGGAGGCAGGCTCTTCTTTCCAGTTGGAGTAGTGGGATTCCTCATTTCCAGATACCCATTTAAATCCTCGGAGTGGCTGGTCAGGAAATACACAATCGGTTTCTTTGAGTTTTAATCCAATCCAAAATTCAAGCAGCGTCCCATGTCGTTGACTTTTTATTAATGAGAGAAGTGAGCGCACCACATCCTCTTCTTTTCGGTCTCTTATGGTCATCAAATATCCTCCTCTTTTGCCGCAGTCTTCTTTGGCCTTGTCAAACCTCTCCTTCTTCATGTGTGCAGTGAAGCAGGCATTAGAGGTGCACAGCGTTTCATGTTCAAACCCTGATAAACCTTCGAAGCTGTTAATGAGCTGCAGGACAAGAAGCCACAACATAGTTGCCACGAAGATCAGCAAAATGTTTGCTCTCCAAAGGGTTCCTGGGAGTTTTAGGGTAAAAAGAGACCAATAAGTGGTTGCCCATTCGTAGCCAAAGAACAAGTGTTTCTCAAAGCAACATTCAGGCTCCAGTATCCTGTTTGCAAAACTAAAGACGGAAATCATGTTTAGCAGCAGTTAGTAGCTCTTTCTTACTCCCATGCTGGCTGGTTCCGTTTCGAGGAAGAAAACAATGAAAGGCTCTGGAGTGTTTTGACTGGTTATCCAGATGTCTCCGGCCCCAGCAGAGTTCAAGCTTTTTAAGCAGACTCCCTGAATTGTGGTGCCTTTCAATACATGAACGTGGAGCGGTCAGATTCATGGAGGGGACTGTGCCATTACAAATAGCCGCCACAGGAAGTGAACCCGTAAACTTTGCCACTCTGTCGCCACGTCTGACCTTCACCTCATTATTTACTATAAAGATGTTAATATTGCACTTATCGTAAATCATCAGTATTTTATTAATGTGTAATCTTCCTCCTGTTATGCAGGTATAGAAGTATCACTATTGATTAGATTTGCTGCCTACCCCCAGCTCTTATGCTGCTATTTAATTTTTTGTGTATAATAACCAAAATATGAGTTTTAATATTCATACTGTAATGGATTGTTTAAAACCTCCCAAAATGTACAATTTACATAACTCTTGATTACTGCTTTTTCATATTTAAACCCAATAACTTTTTGGAGGGCAAGTACAGAAGACCTTTGCGGGCCTTCATGTGAATACAGACGTTTCCTGTATTTGTTTAAATACAGGAAGTGCCTCGACTTCAATCACAGGAAACAGACACCAATCTCCACCCTCTGAGTGCACAGTGGCACTTAAATAGTGTCTACTTCAAACAAAGCCTTGCTAATAAATTCTTCCAAGTCTATTTAAAATATTATTACTATAAGGTTAATCACCGCCTGTCTACTTTGGTGTAGGAAATTCAAATAACTACATTTTACCAAACTGGGTGAATCTACGAAACTGGTGGCTTTAGTTACATGACAACGATCAGAAAACAAACGTAAATCTTTTCTGATGTGATGTGACTTAGTAATTCTCACACTTTATAGAAAACTGCCTTAACATCTGTATTTAAGCTATTGTTTGCAATATTTTCTGAAGCAGATTTCTTTGAATTCAACCCAGTCACGAGCTTTTGTAATTCAGCTGTTTATATTTAATTTAGGTTTCTGGTTATATTCTTGCAAGTACTCTTATAGTTTATATTTGGAAATTAAAAAATACTTGAAAATATGTCAAACACCATTTGTTTGGATAAAATATTTTCCAATTTTAAATAAAAACATGTAAAAAAATTTGTTCAATATTCTGAGAAGCTATATGAAAAATATAATTTGGGATTGTTGACCTGAGGGTGTGTCTGTGTTAATATGTGGTCCACTTAATAAAATTTTATTTTGGTATTTTCACAGCCATAATTAAAACACTGTAAACGTACATGGTTTTTTTTTATGGTTTCATCTTCTTTTTAGGTCATGGGTGTGTTTAGACCCTTTATCAGGGTAATGATAATGTGTTTTAATATTATTTTCTGACATTGTTTTATAATCATATTTTGCCACCTCCTCTACTGGAAAATGAAAGCTACCCAGAGCGCTCACACAGAGGCTGGTTTGTCATTAATAGATTAAATGAGACTTTGGTTGCTCTGGCAGAAAGAAGATGCAGAGGTCATTTCATGATATAAATTAGAGATGCAGATTTAAAACATTTATATGAAATACTGTAAAAGTGCAAACTGTTCTGATAAGTCACAACATCGCCCCTGCATTATTTGAATTTATTCTCTAAATAGCATCAGAAACATTAGCTTATGTAGCTTAAATTACTAGATTATTGGCCAATTTTAACTTTCGGAGCCATTAGTCTGCTGGCATATTACAAGTTGCCGGTAAAGAAGCTGATGTAAAGTTTATTTTACTTTCTATCTACCTTCTATTCCTGTTCTGCGCTTCATTGTTTGTTTACAGTACAGATCTAAATCCAGGTGAGAGCAAGTCTAAAGGATGTGACAAGTCAAAGCCTGTATTCATTCTAAATATTGTTATAAAGAGAGAGAAAGAGAAATTGACAGACAAGAGTGGACATGTAGTCGAGTGCAACTACATGATAAAGGGAGTCTAGCTTCTGTTTTGCCCATATTTTTTTGACATGTTTTCCGGCCAGTCGGTAATAGTAGGATTATATTTTCAGCTATTAATTAGTAGCAGAAAGTAGTGTCGTTAAATGATAATGCTTTAAGTTTTCCACTACATCCTGGCAACTTTCTCTCAGTCGAAGATATTTACACTGTCTCAGACACTTAACAGCTCATCAAGAAAAGGTAAAAACATGCATTCCTGTGGGACGAGAAACTGTGGGCCAGATGTATCCTGTTTACTTTGCTAACAAACTTGTCTGGAGTCCAAGATATATTGTGCAAGAACATTTAGTCTGGCACAATGTACATAAGGTCAGGGCAAAATCAATTCAATGAAGTCAAAAGAGCTCTCTGGAGAGGCTGACGCACACATCGGTATGAAAACATTTCTGAAGTGTTAAGTGTTCTCAATATTAATGTCACGGAAGGCGTTCAGAGTGAAGGATATGATTAATACCAGAACAGTTGCCAACAAACCTTCAGATATCCAGTGGTGGGAAAACTTGGAAGCCATGTCAGCCGTTAGAGCAGCTAAACAGAGAACACTGAGTACAATATAAGTCCATACGTGGAGTCTGCTATTTAAAGTCTGAGGAAACAACAGGCTTCATCATGACTTGGATAAAATCACCCCAGCAAGTGCTGACAGCATGGCACAGTTTTGTTTGTAAAGGGAGGTTGGTAACTCGGGTTATTTACTTTTACAGGAACCATGACCTATAGTGACACTATTTCTTGGGTTGACAGCACATTTGTCCTATTATCCTCCATTATCTCCTGCTAAGCAAAGACTTAACTGTAAGTAAGAAAGTATTTGAGAACCAGATTATGACTCTCCATGTCATCTGTGGTATTGGCTAGACTTCCATCCTCGATCAAAGCAATCAAAGCCTATGATGGATAAACTGTACCAGGTGATAAAAAATGGTAGAAACTTGCCCCAACTTGCAAATATTGCAAATAACACAAATATTCAGTGAGCTTTTTTTTTTTTCATTCAAAAATGCAATCTCCATATTTGCATTTTAGGCATGTTCATGCTGACTGACAGCTCCTTCAGTCAGAGATTCATTGCACCTGTCGGGGCAGGACAGCTTTATGAGCTGATAACTTGCTGGAACCTCTGCTCAGGAATCTGTGCAAGTAAGTTACACTTATTCTAGGGAAAATGTGATGACAGCTGTGGTTGCTAAAGAAACCCAGCAAAGGCATGAAGTTCTTCGGAATTGGGAGCGCTAAAGGAGACACGAGCAAAACAGGTGAGTATGTTTTCAACTCTTTGTGATTGAACATTTAATTTAAGGTTAACAGAACAGCTGTAATTCATGTGCCAACTTGAATTACAGCTACAAATAAGGAAGAGCTGGTTAGGTTATACCTTTAATTTCATATATTTTATTGCCATGTTATGTTATCTAGAATATTAGGCAGTGTGTTTGTTTAAAGGCAGGAAATTACCCAGCATCACCACTGGGACATTATTCCCTCCACCAGCCTCCATGCTCACTTATACAATTACTGTATTGTAATTACAGGGAGAAATAAAACAAAAACAAAAACACAACTTTCACCTGAAATTCAAGTTCAATTACATTTTTAAAACATAATAGAAAACATAACCCATGTAAACCTTTTGTTTATCAATGACTTAGCCTGCCGAGGGCTCTGCAAAGACCACGTCACCTTTGATGTTCAGTCAAAAATTAGCAGCCATAAGGAAGTTTCTAATCCTGCACTGGGACATCACAGAGGAGTTGGCAAACTGTAAGCACGATTCACAACATTTAAGATTCTGATGTTGAAGGAAGCACAGTTTTCATATGCTTTCCCTGCTGATGTCAGAATAATGTGCATTGCAATCGTCATAGTCTCCTTATAGTCTGTAAGAGATTAAAGCATTAATGACCTTCTAGTTCTGCACAATATGGGTTAGCCATCACACTGGGGCATAGCAGCACTGCACCACTTGAGTGAAGTCAAAGAGAATAGAGTACATGTTAATAGTGTCAGCAATCAGATCACTGATTGTGACGTTAAAATATTTGAGTAAAATAATTTTTCCTCCACCAAAGACTTTTTTGTGTATTATCACATCGTTTCTGATAAACAAGGATGTATGTTTAATGTATGATTTTAGGTCTTTACAGACCCAACCTTCTCTTGTGTGATCACCATCATTTCCATTACTGCCCTCTACTGGCTTCTAACAGAAATGTCCAGGTCTCTAGCTAGAGTCTAATTAGATATTGTTCATTTACAGTTAACATGCCATCAGTGACACCTGTTAACTGAAAGAGAATCAACAAAACAACAGAATGGCCTCCGAAGTCAACAGCCTACAAAACCTTTTGTTGTTGTTGTTTTTGGCATGTCCAAATAACAGTAAAGAGATTAGTGATCGCTTCTGGGAACACTTTAAAGACAAGTGGTACCAGTTTGACTGGAAATAGCTTAGAAAATCAGACCATCGCCTGATGACTGATGAATATAAGACCAACGCAACGTTAGGCATGAGTAAAAGAGAATAATTCTCAGAAGATTTTAATATTTTTTTTCACGTTTGTGAACACCTATTGTGTGTTTGAATGAAATATTCTGTTTCGATTTTTCTGGTTCAAGACGTTTCAAAGCCCATAGTCTTTGGTGTTTACTTTTCTAACATCAAACTGATGTTGTAGCTTAAAAAAGTTTTTCCTTGACTGGCATAAGAGTTCTCATACAGGACTTGAAGTCAAGAGACTTATATCTTTTGACTTCATGTTTTAGAAGCTCTCAGTTTTAAAATGTGGGTAGAGTGGTCTTCATGGTCCGCTGCGTAACAAAAACATAATTTAACGAAATGACTACGAATTTGGAGACAAGTTTGGCCATGTTGCAGTATCTCTCTCGCTCGCTTGTTGTTTAGTGTGAACAAAACAAACTCAAACTCAAAGTGGCATTACGCACCCACCCACAGATATCTTGATGCTTCAGAAGAAGTCATGAGGGATGAAACGTTTGTCCCACGTCCAGCTGAACAGAATCAACTTTTTGGGATATAGCCGTAGAACAGAGTAGCTACAGAAATGATAAATCATTTTGGCACTGCCAGCTAGCTACTATCACAAAATCCTTGTGTAATCTGGTTTTCCATTAGTTTTCTCTCTTTCCCCTTTTGGGCGGCTAATTATGTTTTGATTAAAGTCCTCGTTATCGGTTAGTGCAGTTAAAGAACATGTGTTTCTCTCTGTAAGCATAACAGTGCATCACATTCAGTTACTACTTCGATGCTAATAATCAACAATTACATGAGTAAAAATAATACTTTCATTATGGGTTTTTATGAGGGCTCCTATCCTTTTTGTTTATGCCTATTCTACTCCTTTTTCTTCTCACTAGATGGGAAATTCACCATTACCTTCTTTTTAATTAAACTATTTTCTTGGGAATGGGTTGATTTTGTTTGATAATTTGGCCTCGGAGACTCCAGCATATGACGGCATCCTTTAGTTATCTTAGTTTAGTTTCTTCATCTTCATCTTGTGCAGCCATAGGCAGGTCTTAACATGACACCAGTAATTTAGTTTCATTTTTCCCCATCACTTGAAAGGATCTGAAGGTGATAAGATCACTGTATGCGCTATCATGCAAGAATGACTTGTGAATAAATAAACTGGAAATGTGCTTTGCCAGCTTACCTATCCTAAATTTGCAGGTAGAGGCGGTTAGACTGAACAGGGTAAAACATGCAAAAGAATGACATAGAACCTGTGTTTACCACAAATTTCAGATTAACTCATTAGCAAAGGTGTGAAAGTACAGATGCCCCTTTCTATAGAAATTCCCATATCCTGACTGCTGAGTTTATAACCTCTGGCCTCCTTAAGGAAACAAAGTAACCCTTCTCACGTGGCCAGCCTGGATAAGGAGTTTTTGCTCACTGATAGGCTCACACTCTGATAAAAAGCTTTAGTTTATAATTGCAGTTATCCTCCTAATTGCAATATTCTAATGGCAATTTAGGCCTTAACATTGACACTGGCTTACAATAATGCAAGTATTAACTTCACCTATACACCTAGAAATACTGTATATAAGTAATCTATAATGGGGAAATTATGGCCAGTGAGGGGAATCCTTCAACATCCAGAACAGATGAGACATTCAAGTGCATCTTTGCTGATTTCACCACTGATGTACAACGGTGGTGAAAAGGATGCATGGGAGAGGTTTGCTTCAAAACACGTTTTTATGGTGTGAAAGTAACCTAACCATACTCTTCTGGTTATCTTGTAGTTACAGGTCGTGCGGTTTGTTCATCACATTTGTTTTTTTTTTTGTTTGTTTGTTTTTTTTCTTAACAAATGAAAAAAATAAATCACAAGCCAGTGCGTGCAGTGGGGAGTGTTGGAGAACAGAGCTGTGGCCTGTAAAGAGTGCTTAGTAGGAGTCGGGCTGAGAGAGGAACAAATAAGCTTTATTATTGGAAAACAAAGAAGGAAAAAGGTAGAAAACTGGTTAGTCTAAGAACTGTCTTAGAATTATTACCATAACTCATCAGTGGGCTTTTTTGCAAGAAGACTGTTTCCTTAAAATAAACTAGATTGTTTGAGCTGATGACATTCAGGAGCACTGGCTTTGTTAGAGAGTATGTATCTTACTGAGACAGGGCAATAACAACAACTTCTGCCCTTTTGAGAGTCCCTTGTATATTGGCTTTCTCCCTAAAGACTTTATGCACATCAAATTCTACAACTGGTTTGTTAAGCAGTGCAAGTGAAAACAAGCATGTGATGATACTTCATTTAACTTTCAGTTCCAAGGAAAATCATGTTTAAAAGGCCTTGGGGGGGAAATAATCACAGTCACATAAAGCCAGTTTTTATTTTCAGTGATGCAGAACACTTTTTATTTTACGTTTATTTTATTTGTTTTGGGTGTTTTTTGTTTTTTTATGGTCTCACGTGTTTCTAGTTAATAGATATAGAGAAATATTTTACAACAAAAAAATGTTTTTATTAAGATTCAAGTTTATCATAACAAATGCATCATTACATCCATGGTCAAAGAAAGTACTCCAGAACACCCCGGAGTTATAGATGCCAGTGGTAGTGAAGATGAGGCTAGGATGTGGCTCTGAGTGACTCCAGTGAGGTGGAGATGGGAAAGAGGTGGATTCCACAAGGGAATGTCTGAAGGGGAGATTGATGGAAGAGCACTGACATTTAAACCATGCAGAGTGGAGGCTGACTGGCTCCAAGAATGCAGGCATGACGCTGATTGGACTCAGATGTCTGTGCAGGTTCTGCTTAGGTTTGCAAAGTCGCATCTGATCAAATCACAAGACTTCAGTAACAATGTCCTTTGTTGAGAAGAGACCAAAGTGTAGATGTTTGGCCACAGTGGTGATTGACCTGGAAACTAGAGTCAAGCTTTTTTTCACTGCTGCTCCATTTTGGCTTACGTATGTAATATCTTTCATGCTTTTCTTTGTCTGTGGTTGTATTATTATAGGAGGAACTGAGGAGCCTGAGGAATTTCCAATATTTATTGCACAGTTTTATCTGGCTGCCTATGCATGCCTCCTCCTGTTATTCAAAGCAGCCTTTAATTTAATGTTGAAAAACTTCAACTTCTGCAAAATGGAACGGGAAAGTTTTAAAAAGAAGCACATGCCCACATGCTCGTCTCAAGTGAGATTTCAAAGAAGCTCCATAAGTCAGCCTCTCCTATAATACACAGACTTGGGCAAAATTGTTGGTACCCTTCGGTCAATGAAAGAAAAACTCACAATGGTCACAGAAATAACTTTAATCTTACAAAACCAATAATAAATCTTAACCAATGAAAGTCAGACATTGCTTTTCAACCATGCTTTGACTGAATTAAAAATGAATGCATGAAACAGGCCTGGACAAAAATGATGGTACCCCTAGAAAAGAAAGAAAATAATGTGGCCAAAGGGACATGTTAATCCAGAGTCTCTCTTTTGAAATCCTTTATCTTATCTTAAGCCAACCTCCCTGGACGTGGCTGCAGGAGGAAATTGATGACAGATCAAAGATGCAGGGGACTCAAACGCAGGACTCCTGAATCAGCTGAACACAAGGATTTATTTACAGAGTTCACCAGGTGTATATACAGAGAGTGCCGGGCAGTGCTATATACAACAATGTGAGGGACGGGACTCCAGGGAAATCCAAGGGGGGGAATCACTCACTCTCCAACTCTCCACATACATGACTGCAGTTCCTTTCTTCACACTTGACACACAGATTCACATGGGAAAGGTTATCCAGGGGGTCTGTAGATGAGGAAACAGGAATGAGTACGATATTCACAAAAGACACTTGACTTATCTTGAGCTGTAGCTTGACTCTCACTGACGTGTGGTAGACAACGATCCAGCGAAGACCAGCAGTCACCTCCTGGCTGAAATGCCGTTCACCTTGATGGGCATCAGGTGTGTTCTTTTCCGTGGGCCGAGGGCGTGAACCCACAATGAGTTCTGCCCCAGCGACAGAGAGGAGGTGAGAGAGAGCGCAAGAGAGAGAAAAGAAAAAAAAAGGCCGATCAGCGTCTTGCCGATCCCCCAGGCCATGACAGGTGCTGCTTTGCTGCATCTGGCACAGGGTGTCTTGAATCTGTGCGGGGTACAATGAAATCTCAAGACTATCAAGGGATTCTAGAGAGAAATATGCTGGTCAGTATCAGAAAGCTTGGTCTCAGTCGCAGATCATGGGTCTTACAACAGGACAATGACACAAAACACAGCTAAAAACACCCAAGAATGGCTAAGAGGAAAACATAAGACTATTTTAAAGTGGCCTTCTATGAACCCTGACCTCAATCCTATTGAGCATCTTTGGAAGGAGCTGAAACATGCAGTCTGGAAAAGGCGCCCTTCAAACCAGAAACAACTGGATCAGTTTGCTCATGAGGAGTGGACCAAAATACCTGCTGAGAGGTGACAGTTACAGGAATCGTTTGATTGCAGTGTTTGCCTCAAAAGGTTGTGCAACAAAATATTAAGTTGTGGGTACCATCATTTTTGTCCAGGCCTATTTCATGCATTTATTTTTAAATAATTCAGTTGAAGCTTGGTTGAAAAGCAATGTCTGACTTTCATTGGTTGAGATTTATAGAACTTTTATTTATTATTACTTTTGTCAGATTAAAGTTATTGCTGTGACCATTGTGAGTTTTTCTTTCATTGACCGAAGGGTAGCAACATTTTTATCCACGTCTGTAAATATTTAAATATATCATATAGTAAATCTTTGTTAAACAAGTAACATCAGGATCTTTACTGCACATGTACATCAGCAAAAATATCTTGGCGTGCAGTTTAATTGGTGAAGTCAGTTATTTTGTTAGTGAATTTTTTTTCTTGTTCTACAGTAGTCAAACACTTTAGAGGCAAAAAGATTTAACTGTCAGCCATAAAATCTTTGTGTACTTACAAGTTCTAACATGCACAAATGCTCGAAGAAACCAAAAATAAAGTGGATGCCAACTACCATGGCAGCCCTGTAAGTTTAAACAAACTTACTCAAGGTTGTTCAAACATCTAAAATATAATGTTTATTTAGCAGACAACATACAACAACAGAGTTACATATTTGCGCTGAAGTCAAGCAAACCTTTGGGTTATTTTAAAAACCAGGAAGCTGTATACAGGGCATCACACCTGTACATTAAGAATTAACATGACTTGTGTGTAAACACCTATAAAACTAACCCTGCAGGTTCCAGAGTAATTCCAAGGAAAGTGGTGGAGTTTGAGTGAAATTTGCATAGTAAGATAAGGAGGTGCCACAACCTGTCCTGTCTGATTTAGGGGATTGTGGGCATTATATAAGACTGAAGCCTGTCCACTCTTACCTGCAGACCTGCTCCGTATCTACTAAACAACACGCTTCCTCTTTTGTGACTCGTTCAGGTAAGATGTTTGTTTAACAATTTTAGGACTAATGACTAAAATCAGTTATTATAGTTTTGCTTTTTCTATTTACTTTTAGTGTTAGGTTTTGTTTTGTTTTTATTAGTTTCATAGTCTCATTAAATATTATTACTATATGGGCATTTCATTGATATTTTATTGTAAATTGCAGTTCTTTTTCTTTTAAAAGAGAAAAAAAACCCAAGCAATGTTTTTAATATTTATATTATTATATTATTATTTATATTATTTCACCTATTTTTTTTCTCACCTAGATTTAGTTAGGCAACCCACCTTTATCATTATGGGTCACCTATACCTATTAGAACAGGTGCTGCACTTGTGCTGTTGCAGACTGTTACCTTGCAAAAAACGGCTCATAAAACTGAGTTAAATCTTAGGTAATTTCCTCTAAATGTCTACCACTTTAATCTCAGTATGTATATTGTTTTTAGTTAATTCTATTAATATTATTAGTAGTAGCAGCTATAGTCAATATAAACATTAAGCATGAGCTGAGCAGCTTCCTAAAAAGCAAATGGGCATACAGTGCTTAACAAATTTATTAGACCATCTATCATAACAAGAATGAAAATGTGTTTTTAGAAATTACTTAGAATTATATTGTTATCTATTAGGCAAATTAAAATAAAATTACAGTTGTATACCCAAATATGAAAATTAATGGATAACAACAGCTTTAAAAATACTATTTTGATTAAAGAGGCTACACATACAGTTGGTTACAGAAACATAAAACATGATTTTGGTATTTACTAATAGTGTTAATTGAGAGCAGCTGTGGTATAAACGTTACACTGGGTGGTGGTCTAATGAATTTGTAATTTGTATGTACTTGTTTTGTGCAGACAGAGATTTTCATACATAAAGAAGCATGCCTACAAATAACCTTTTCTGAAGTACTGAATTTAAACACAAGCAAAGAAGAATAAAATTGTCTTATATGACAATTAAATATATGAAATGACAGAGTATGTCATGTTTTTTTGGCATTGACTTTTTACATCAATTCTTACATCAACCAAGCTTTATTTTTAATATCTAAAGTTATGTTACCAAAAAAATATTTAATGTAATTTACTGGTTGTAATCTGGAGGTGGAGTAGACTGATAATCACCCTAAAGGTTTGAGGAGCGTACTGATCATTTTAAGAAGAATTTAATTTTACTGTTATGATTTGAGCTGACATTGTTTCTTTGTAGCATATCTTTTATTATACTAATCTATCAAATTTACATGCCAACTTCTTGAAAACAGACACAAACACTGCAGCAATGCCTCTTCCTGGTGCATGCCTGAACATTATGGAGGCTCGTCACAAGCAGAAGGGATATGGGAGCATCTCCAACCCTGAAAGGTTCTGTAACCAAGACTTCAAGAACCTGAAACAGTACTGTCTAATCAAAGGAGTAAGGTACCTCGATGACATGTTCCCCCCTGATGCAAAGTCTATTGGCCAGGGGATACTGAAGCCCTCCGACCTGGCCCACGTGAAGTGGCTAAGACCTGCGGTGAGTATTTAAAGATATTTAAATTGCACATTAGATGCTCTATCACATCTAAATGTTTAATCAGCCGGGGACTGATTCCCCCTTTTTCACTGCAAGTGATTCAGTTTAAATTTTCTGCTAATGACATTTTTCTGCAGTCAGATTGTAAAAGTGTTTGAATGAGCTGTTCTTCAATTCACACAGTCCCAGTACACGGCTAACAATAATGCTTAACATTTCAAAAATAAAAGTGGTTGCCCAAAACAAGCTTGACATGCAAAACTAGACTGCTAGACATGAGCTAATAATTCATTTTAGAATTTTAGAAAACAAAATACAATATCTTTTCCACCTTTGCCCCACTGCATTTGAGATTGTGAAAATGTAGCTCTTCTTATGAACCAAGAAGTGAGATTTTCACTGTAACAGTGCCCTCTAGTGGATGTGACAATAATTAAATTAAATTTAAGCCTGTGAAGTAGAGTTTCATATTTCAAACTTGGCCCCAAACCTCTTAAATTTGGGAATGGTCGGATACATTAAGTGGAAATGAGTGAAGCAATCCTTATATTTGAAAACTGACTCCCTGTTTTACAGCAAATTGCTCCTGATGCTGAATTTGTGGTTGATGGCGTGTCCAGATTTGACTTTGGTCAAGGTGTACTTGGTAGGGTCATTTCTTCACTCCTAATATTTACACTCTTGTATCTGCCTACAGTCCTGATTGTTCTTTTTTGTTGTTGTTAACCAGGAAACTGCTGGTTTCTTGCATCAATCGGCGCACTGACTTTCCAGAATCACATTTTTGAACAAGTTGTTCCGCTCGACCAAAAAATCAAAGAGAACTACTGTGGCATTTTTCACTTCAGGGTAAACATCATTAAACTATCAGAATAAGAGAAGTAATTATTATCTTTAACTGCTTTTCTCCACTAAACTAAAACTTAAAAGCTGTTTATTTCAGAGTTTAGATTATTTTGTCTATAATGATCAAATTTCATGAAACACAACAAGCTCACAAAACAATTGTATCTTTATTTAAGTTCTGGAGATTCGGGCGGTGGGTGGACGTTGTCATTGATGACAAGTTGCCGACGATCAATGGCAGACTAATCTTTGTTCACTCCACAGATCCAAATGAGTTCTGGCCTGCTCTGCTTGAGAAAGCTTATGCCAAGTATGCAAAGAAACATATGATTTATCTGATATACAGTGAACATGTTACATGTGGGGGATCTGTGAAAAATATTATCTACCTCTGTCAGGGTTTGTGGTTCCTACACCGACATGACTTCTGGAACTCCTTCAGAGGCTATGATGGATTTCACCGGTGGCGTCCACATGTGCGTCCAGCTGTCGGACGCCAGTTCAGATGTGTGGGGGCTGATATGCAGAGCTGGCAAATCCAACACATTGATGGGCTGTGGTACACCTCAAGGGGTAAGCACAAAAAAACAGAACTCAGAAACAGCCCGAGGTTATTCAGGGAGATTATTCTCCAACTACAAAAAAGGGCTACCAATAAAACTGGTATCATATTGCCTAAAAACTATAAAACTAAATCAATGATGTAATGATGAAGTTATATTTATGGCATAATCAACCAATATTGCACAAATACAACCCAAGTTAGCATGCACTTTGGGACTGCTTAAGTGGGAATGCAAATCCTGGAACAAGAAGACTGTTTTGACTTACTAGACTCTGAAAGTTCAAAATCTATTTTAAGTTTTTTGTGAAGCGGTTGGTTGACTGCCAGAAACATCTTTTATGAAGACAAAGTGTCCCAAAATGTTGAAATTTGCTTTAAGTCAACATAACCAAACTTTGCAGTCACTTTTTTCTAATGATATTATTGTATCAGAAGTCTTTATTTTCATTTTTTATGCTTTTACAATGACCAATGTTCCTTGATTGTAGGAAACATCTGCTAACACAGTTTTGCCAAATGGACTGGTCCAAGGGCACGCCTACACTGTGACAGGGGTTAAAGAGGTAAAGAATTATACTTACACAGTAATCACAGTTAGTATTGGAAGTGAATCTACAGTAATAATACTTCCCTGGTAAGATTACAGCAATAAAAAAAATGCTATCACATAGTATCACAGTATGCAGTGTAGGAAGAATTACGGCAAAAACAAACGCCTGACATATTAGACAAAATGTTTAGGGGAGATTTAAAAACCTTTAAGCATACATTTAAATACAACAATAATATGTCCCAGAAGGTTGATTCTGTTCATCTGGACGTAGCGTTTTGTGGGAGAAACGTTTCGTCACTCATCCAATTGACTTATTCAGTCTCAGCTGACTGCAGGTTTCCCCAACCTTATAAACAGTACATTTGCATAATGACTGAAAATAGAACCACTGAATGAACAGTGGGCTCTGAGATCAGTTCCTTGATCATTAATATGCAAATTCTCATGACCATTGACTAACAACTACTGATCAAAGACCACTGATCAGTGGCCATGAGTACCATCCAAAGAGAGTTGGGGAATGGCTGCAATCACAGCAATCACATAAATGGCCTCCTTGACTCCCCCTCAAACCAGTGTTCCCAGCTGATTGTTCGTTCAGTGATGCTCGTTTCAGTCATTGTGCAATGTACTGTTTATAAGGTTGGGGAAACCTGCAGTCAGCTGAAACTGAAGACGTCACTTGGATGAGTGACGAAACGTTTCTTGCATTGAAAACGTTACGTCCAGATGAACAGAATCAGCCTTTTGTGATTTACTTACCTGGATGATTGAGCATGCATTGAACCAATAACTGTGATTTTTCTGGTGCCTGCGGCCAGCTTATTAGCCAAGGAAAACTTGTGAAGCTGATCCGTTTGTGGAACCCCTGGGGCAAAGGAGAGTGGGTAGGAGACTGGAGTGATCGGTAAGCAGTAATCAGCTTTGGTATATTTAATTAGAGAATAATTTTCTTCAAAATATGCAACTCTGGATAAAAATTACCAACATAATGTGTCATCTCTTACCTAAAATACTGTCTTTAAGGTCACCCATGTGGGACGTTGTGAATTCTCAAGACCGCCAAATGTGCCTTTCAGTGGCTGATGATGGAGAGTTTTGGTAAGCAAATTTCGTCAAAAGAAAACTACAACCTCTGGCGGTATTATATTAATACCACCAGAAGTTGTAGTTTTCTCTTTTTTTGCTTTATTTACTCTGTACTATGTTATAAGCTTAGTGTTTTATACTTTGACATCACATCTAAATAAATTAGGAATGAGAATCTACCTGATTTTATTAACAGGATGGCATTTGAAGATTTCTGTAAGTTCTACACAGATCTTGACATCTGTGGCCTGAAACCAGACTTCATAGATGGAAAATCCTCTGCTCAGTGGAAGACCTCTGTGTACGAGGGTCGGTGGGTTGCTGGAACTACTGCTGGAGGCTGCATAAATAACAGAGGTAATTATATAGCATATACTGGAATATAGGTGTTTAAATGTTCAGCAGAACATAATGTTTTAATCTTCAATTCATGTAAATAAAACATATTTTTCCCTCTATGTCCTCCAGACACTTTCTGGACAAATCCACAGTATCGAATTAAGGTCGTAGGTGAAAACTCAGAGACCAATGGGGAGAAAAACATCCTAGTGTCTCTCATGCAAAAGCCTGACAAGAGGAACAGACGCCTGGTGCAGAACCTCCACATTGGTTTTTCTGTATATTTGGTAAATATTTCTCTTTGTCATATCATTCATACATGCATAACTATGGTGAAAACAAAAACCATGTTGAAGTTGACATTTTCAGAGCATGAAAATGTATTTAACTATTGTCAGAACTTGTATCGTAATGTGAAAACAACAATAATAATGTGGTGTTGAAATGCAGAAAATGACAGATCAAAAATTTACTACAACATAAAAAAAAACATTTTGTTAGCAAGCCAAGCTTTAATATGCTGTCCAAGCATTCATACAGTGGCTGTGCACATGTTGAAATAACTAACTTACGACTAACTGAATTATTGTTTATTCCCAACATGAACAAAATTCATCTGACGTCCTTCAAGGTGTCTGAAGACGTAAGAAACTAATTTAATCTATTTCATGTTTATAATACACATATGGTGATGTGAAAAGGAAAGTACACTGTCTTTCACTATTAAGGTTCTGTGTATCTGTATGTGCTGATACATAAAACCTTCAAGTTGACATGTCTGTACGCACTTCAGAAACTTCTTCAAATGAAATTGGGGAGCTGAAATATCACTTTGAATAATTTCAGTACAAAACGCAAAGTGGGAAGTTTCCAGCAATGTTCTTCAACACCCATCTGCCTGTTGCTCGGAGTGATAAATACATGAATGCCCGTGAGGTGATAGAGTTCCTTATGCTGAAGCCTGGTGAATACCTGATTGTGCCATCCACCTTCAAACCCAACGAGACAGCCTCCTTCATCCTCACCATCCACTCAAGAGAAGAGACGTGTTGCTAGTATGCTCACTGTCGATGTCTGAAGATATGACATAAAAAAGTTTTGAAACAAAATTTGCATTTGACACATTACAGTTGATTTCTATGAAAGTAATGCATATTGGTCTCCCCACAGTGAGAATTCAAATTCAAATGAGCAAAGATATGAGCCAGTTGAAAAGGTTTGTAACAAATCATTTAATTGTGTCCGTGTTATTTTGCTGTTCATGTGTTATTAATGTGAACTGTTGACTCGTCAGGTCACAAAAGTAAAAAACCATCAGGATGAAGAAAACAAGAAAACATTCTTCCGTCAATACTCTGACAAGGTAATTAAAAAAGATCTTTTTGCTAATAGTATTAGCCGCATCACTGCAATATTACAAGTTTATATAGCATTATGTGTCTAACAGTCTGTGTGAATGTATCAGGTAGTAAACCAAATCAATTAATGTTTCAGTATGAAGAAGTGGATGCTGAGCAGCTCCAGAGGCTTCTAAATGAAAACATCCTGAAAGGTTTGGCCTTTAAAAAGTCTGTCAAGCTCAATTTAAATTTACTAAACTTTGCTAATTCAACTCTGTTTTATTTAGGAGAAATGAAATCTGGAGGGTTCAGCCTTGATGCCTGTCGCAGCATGGTGGCTCTAATGGATGTATCCTATTATAATACATGTGATACTGGAAAAAGCAGATTAAGAAACTTTGTAGTTTGCCTTTCTGAGCTGTTGAAAAGTAACTATTGCAGAAGTCTATATGTAAGCAAACCTGAGTGCTTCTCTGTTGATATAACCAGCATTACTCATCTGAAAAACCAGACTAAGATTTGTCCCTTTGCTACCTTAATGTGGGTTTTAAAAGACGTCGATCACAGGCAAACTAAACAGTGAGGAATTTGTCCGTCTGTGGAACAAGGTCACCAAATACAAGGTAAAGGGAAAAAAACAGCCTTAAAACATATATCAATACATCTGCTATAGATGTGAAGATTTTCCCTGATCAGTTTCATGGTTTCAGTCTTCTCTTATCAGGAGACTTTCTTCCTCACCGACGTTTCAAAAACAGGAACGCTGTCACTGAGTGAGCTGAGGAATGCATTTGTAGCTTCAGGTATATGTTTATAGTTATATGTGTGTATATGTATGTATATATACATATATGTGTGTGTATTAGTATATATTAGTGCTGTCAGCGTTAATCTCGTTAAAATACTGTTAGCGCCATAACCCAGAGCTTCCCAAAGTGTGTGGCCCACCCCCTAGGGTGGGGCGCAGAGCCATTGCAGGGGGTATGAAAAGGAAAAAAAAAAAAAAGGACACTTGGACACTGCTAGCATAATGGACAGGTTTTTGACGGGTGTCCACACAAACGCAAAGCAGGAGATGAAGCATCGCCAAATATGTTTCCAAACCAACTTAATTCTAAGCCAAAGACTAGAAAATACGATGAAGCATATCGTGTGTGTATGTAAGCGTGTAAAACCTGAAGATGGAGACAAAATACTGTTTATCTGCCATTCTGCAATTCATCTCATGTAAACAATAACGTGCGCACAGCGTGACGTGAAAAAAGGCACATACCTTTGATGTTGCCTGACGAACTGTCTATCCCTCGTCCACACGGAGGGATGGACAAGGAGTCTAAAAAAGGAGTTTTAAAAAAATCTCCATTTTCGGTGATTCCAAACGCCGTTTACGTGCTGACGAAAGGCCCAAACGCATAGAAACAGCTGCGTTTTCAAAAATACCCGTGTAGGTGTGGACGTAGCGTAAAAGATTTAGTAGTGTATTTTATCACTACCTGTAATTTATTGCAGATTACTTGTATTTGTTTAATTGTTTACTAAATGTTTGAGGTGTGAAATAAACTGTTGGTGTTTGAAAACAAAATATGGGCGTGTGTGGCTGGAGGATGTGTTTGTGCATGCGGGGAGCGAACATTTTTCTTGTAAAACAAAGGGGGCCCCAGCAAAAAAAGTTCGGGAACCACTGCCATAACTACATTAACGCGGCAAATCTTCATTAGCAAGATAGCGCGGATTGACATCATTTTAACGAGATTAACGCTGACAGCACTAGTATGTATATGTATGTATGTACATATATCTCAGCAAACTCCTCCTGAAGTCTGACTGTGTGTGTTCTTCAGGAATGAAGGTTTCAGATGACATGCTCAGTCTGATGGCTCTGCGCTATGGCGCCTCCTCTGGACACATGGCACTGGAGTGCTTCATCAGTCTCATGATTCGCTTGGACTGCATGAAGAGTAAGTGAAGCCGAGAAGAAATAACAACAGTAGATGTGTAGATAGCTGAAAATAAATCTCATGCAGTGAGAATGAAAAGTTTTTTCAGTGGAAAACATCTTTCTCGCTTCTAAGATTTGATTAAGGTTCATGATTTGTACAGTTTAAACTCAAAGTTGTGTTCTTCAACAGAAATCTTCAAACAGTTGTCTGATGGAAAATCCATTCATCTCAAGGAGTCAGAGGTAATAAAGTCACTTTAGTGCTGACAGAGCAAACGAATAAATAAATATAAATATTTATACAAAGAAAATGCATTCGTTTAAATGGTGATACTTAAATGTTGTTAATAAATAATCTCTGTCTTATTTTCAGTGGATGTACGTTTCCATGTACACTTAAGCCAGCTGAAAGACAGATGCACGTTTCATCTGGAAAACACAAGAAGATATTTCAAAAACTTGTTTTCTGTGAATTAGCTATAACACTTTAGTACTTTGAAACAACTAAACACAATAATGTGAAACTATAACAAACACTAACATTTAAAGCTGTAAACCTTATGCCTCTCTGCATATTATGTCAAAGACTGAATAGCTGCATTTTTTTGTGACTAGTACTGCAAACTTGTCAATCTGTGTTTTATAATAGAAACATAATACAGATGTTCGTGAATGACATGGGACTATTGTATCAGTCAAAAATGAATGAAGTGGATGGGAAATTAAACTGATAAGATAACTACAAAAACTCGGAAAATGGAAATTCAAAGGAAGAAAATGTCAAATTTAACTAGTACATTTGTTTTTATATGTAATTTTCTATATCAGCTGCTTTTTAAAATTCCTTTTATATTGGGGAAAGGAAGTACCAAACTTCAGTGGGTCAGTTTCAATAGTGAGAGGTTGCGTTCTCCTCCTTTCAATGAAGCATTGCCTTTGTGATCTTCAGCAATTTTCTTTTTTCCAGCAGCTGGGATTTTTTTTAATCTTATCATTTGTTTTGTGGGTTTTGATATATTTAGCTGCATAATTGCCTGTTAAAGTTACATTTTCTTAATAAAATCATGTGTTATTTTGTAGATTTGCCGTCTTTGATTTTTCTTTGAGAGATCTTTTTTTACCCAGACACTTTTATAGATACTTCCCTTTATTACATTGAATGCTTTAGACATACTAAAAAACGTCTAAAGCATTTAGACATTTGCTTACATAAGGATGTCTATAAATGCAGGTGACACCGAGGCACCCTAGGCAGTAGGTCAATGATCAATTTTTATTAACGTATCACCAGACCTGTGGCCATATGTTCTGAGCACTCGGGTGAAGGGTCGGGCTGAGCTGTCAACTGATCAGTTGTGAGTTGGATTAGGTGGTGGAAGATGATGCTGGACAGACCTAGCAGTATAGTGAGGGTGTGCTGGGAATGCTTAGCAAAGGTCCTGGTCCGCGAGATCTTCAACTCACACCACCGGCAGAGCTGCAACAGCATTCCAAGGGAGATTGGGGGACACTGAGTCCAAATGGACCGTGTTCAGCGCCTCCATTGCTAAAGCCGCTGCGGCTGCAAGGTGATTGGTGTCTGTTGTGGTGGTAACCCCCGAACCAAATGGAGGAAACCCGAGGTGAAGGGAGCCACCAGACTGAAGGAGAAGTCCTATTGGGCTTGGTTAGCCCGTGGGACTTTGGAAGCAGCCAGTAGGTGCCAACAGGCCAAGCAGAATATGGCTTGGGCAGTGCCTGAAGCAAAAATTCGGGTATGAGAGGAGTTTGGAAAGGCCATTGAAAAAGACTTTCAAACTGATGGAAAACTGTTGAGCAACTTGGGAGGGGAAAGCGATACTCTACCTGCACTGTGTATAGTGCAGGCGGAACGTAGCTGACTTCAACTGAGAACATTGTTGGGTGGTGGAAGGAATACTTCGAGGACCTCCTTAATATCAATGGCACATCTTCTGCTGAGGAAGCAGAGTGTTGGGAAGAGGAGGACAACTCGTTTATATTTGAGGGTGAGGTCACTGAGGCAGTAAAACAACTCCTTGGTTGCAGGGCCCCTGGGGTGGATGAGGATCGCCCTGAGTTGCTAAGGGCTTTGGGTGTTGTAGGGCAGTCTTGGTTGACACACCTCCAAATGTTCCATGGAGATCGGGGGCGGTACATCTGGACTGCTAGACCAGAGTGGTGGTTCACATCTTTAAGAACGGGGACCGGAGGGTGTATTCCAACTATAAGGGGATCACACTCCTCAGCCTCCCCGGGAAAGTCTATGCCAGTGTTGGAAAGAAGAGTCCGTTTGTTAGTCGAATCTTAAATACAGGAGGAACAAAGCGATTTTCGTCCTGGTCGTGAAGAACTTGCAACTTAGAAATGTATTTATTGTCATTGTACAGTGTAACACTGGACCAGCTCTTTAGCCTCTCAAGGATACTTGGGGGTGCATGGGAATTTGTCCAACTAGTCCACATGTGTTTTGTGGACTTGGAAAAGACATTCGACTGTGTCCCTCAGAGTGTGGGAGGTGCTTTGGTAGTATTGATTGTCTTGCCCATTGCTACAGGCCATTCAATCCTTATACAACCATTGCAAGAGCTTGGTGCCCATAGCGGTCATCTGGTTCTGTTGGCTTTATGGGGTGGTTTCCAGCTCGCACTGGAAAGGTTCACAGCTGAGTTTAAAGTGGTGGAAATGAGAATCAGCACCTCCAAATCTGAGGCCATGGTCCTGAGCTGGAAAAGGGTGGAGTGCCCACTCCGGGTCATGGATGAGTTCCTGCCCCAAGTAGAGGAGTTCAAGTATCTTGTTCCCAAGTGATGGGAGAAAGGAATGGGAGATCAACAGATGTATTGGTGCTGCGGCTGCAGTGATGCAGACACTATTCTGGTCCGTCGTGGTGAAGAGAGAGCGGAGCATAAAAGCAAAGCTCTCGATCTACCGATTGATTACTACCTTCACCTATGGTCACGAGATGTTGTGACCGAATGAACGAGATTGCAGATACAAGCGGCGGAAATGGCTCCCTCTGAAGGGTGGCTGGCCTCTCCCTTCGCGATAAGGTGAGGAGTTCGGCCACCCAGGAGGGGCTCAAAGTAGAGCCGCTGCTCCTCCACATCGAAAGGAGTCAGTTGAGGCTGTGAGGGCATCTCATAAGGATGCCTCCTGGGTGAGGTGTTCCAGGCATGTCCCACTGGGAGGAGGCCCCAGGGCAGACATAGGGCACACTGGAGAGTTTATATCTCTTGGCTGGTCTGGGAACGTATTGGTGTTCCCCTGGACAAGCTGGAGGAGATGGCTAGAGAGAGGGAGGTCTGAGCTTCTCTGCTGATGCTGCTGCCCCCGTGACCTGGCCCCAGATAAGCAGAAGAAGATTGATGGAAAGATGACTAACATTGCTTTAGGTTAAATATTGCTACTTTTAATTGGATACCAAATTAGGGAAAGTTCTTCTATGTCTTATTTATATTAACTAAGTTGAGCTTTTTTCATCATTCTGAGCCAGGAAAATATGCTTTCTACCAAATATGCATATTTTGATCCTATCTGAATTTGCTACTAAACAACTGTGATAAATCATCACCAGTGAGAAGAAAGCTAAACCACAAGTGTATCTTTAAAGACACATAAGGAACAATCAGGATGATTGAGGTTTCCATTTAAAATTTCTCCCTTTTATACATAACTGATGTTCTGTTATGAATTTTATTCGTTTAGAACAAATTCAAATAAATGTCCATTTTCCAACATTCTTTACATTTCTAAAGAATTTAGCACATTTCATGTTCATTATATACAGAAGTCAAACAGTTTAATCACGTCTATTGAAGTATAATAGTCAAACCTCTCATGGATAAGTTTACCTTAAAGTTCTTATCACCATTCTGACACCAATATGCATAATTTTTAAAGTAAAGTTTCTACTTTGTGATAAAACTCAATAGAAATAGGAGACATAGTAAACTCAACAGTGTCAAGTGTGCTAGTGAGAAGTTACCTTGTCAGAGTGTTTATTGAAAAAGTCTCTTATGTTCATCTTCCTGTGGACTTTTGACTTTGACCTAAATAAAAAGGTATTCACATTATCACTTAGCAAATAACACAACAGCAATGAGACATGATTGATTGTTGAATACCCACATTCTCATCAAGCTCATGTTTGTGATGCATATTTCTTCTTCACAGAAAAACATTTCCGTGTTTGCACATGTATCATGAAGATTGTTCCAATTTAGCATTGCCATATTTTGTCCTTCAGCCCTGCTAGTATGCACTTATGAGTGTGCATACTAGCAGTTGGTCTCTGCTTTTGGGTGGATGGTCAGGATAGGGGCCACTGGGATTGAAGGTAGATGGCACAATCAAGTGTTCCGTCAATGTCTGTTTCTTTAATTTAGGATTGCTAAAATGAAATTGAATGTAAATAACTATTTAAAATGCGTTTTAACAAAGAGGAATTTAAGATGATTTCACACTTCTTTGGAATATATCTCAGCATTCAAGGGAATTCATTTGCAGTTTATAGTTTGCAGAATATGACCCTAGTAAAATGTTTATGAATCTTTTTCTGTTTGTCTGCTCTTCAAAGCTGATGACAACTGTGGCAAAAGGTTTAATCATACAGGAAATTTTAGATAATGATTAATAGGAGCAGTGTAGCCTTGTAGTATAGGCCATCCTGATCACCACCCTGATGGACAGTACCATTGTCAGATTCAAGAAATAAAGGTGCCATGACATATCCATGTTAGACAGTGAAGAGCAATGTTTACCTCAAATATGAAAAACCCAATGTGGAGGTTTTGCACCAGGTGACTGTTCCTTTTTTCAGGCTTTTGAATGAGTGACACCATTATGTTTTTATCGCCATCTTTGTCTGAGTAGCCACTGCAAAATTTGAAACGACACTGTGGTTTGGTCCAGAAACTGTCTTTCCTGGGAAAATTAAAAAGTGTTTCCTGCAGCCGCCTCTCTATGGCGTGACGCAACCCTTCCCCAGGGTTCTTCCACCACAGATCACACAGGTTGTAAATTTTATCCATTATCTCCCTCCTGAGCGTCTCCTCAGAGTCCGCTGGGTCCATGTGTGGCTGGATCATTCTGTCACGGTCTGTGGTGGCAGACCATGGGTATGTGGCGAAGTAAGACCCAAAATGCAGGACTATTTAATGCAAGCAGTGCGTTTATTTACAGTAACTGATAGCAGTCATGGTTATAAGCTTTTATTACAGTCACTTTATAAATGCCTCTATAAAAGGATTAAGGTCCTTTCAGTTGCTTTGGCAGATGTTTAAACCGCTGTCTCTGGGTAAATTCTGACGAAATTATACCACAGCAGGATATAGTTATAAAACTTTATAGGTGTTTAGTGAAAGGAATGAAAATAAGTCCTCATGTATGAGTGAGTATAGGGCAGCAGAAGTATCAGGGACATTAAGCCACTGCTGGTGGTTCTGTGTGGTGTAGTTCTACTTACCCTGGGAGGTGTACCACAGCCCATCAGTGTGTTTGATTTGCCAGTTCTGCAGATCAGCCTCCACAGGCTTGGAATCGGTTGTGACAGCTCGATGTTAATGTGGACGCCGCCGGTGAAGTCCATCATAGCCTCTGAAGGAGTTCCAGCAATCATGTCAGAGTAGGAGCCACAAACCCTGACAAAATAATAGTTTGTTTGTTTTTTTACAGATATTTAGAGAAATCACACCTTCAACTCTCATTATGTCTAAGATTAAGACTGCATACTTGGCATAGGCTTTCTCCAGGAGAGCAGGCCAGAACTCATTTTGGTTTTTGGAATGAACAAAAATTAGTCTGCCATTGATTGTTGGTAGTTTGTCATCAATGACCACATCCTCCCACTGCCCAAATCTCCAGAACTGGGGGAAAAAAGAATGAATCTAGTTTGCCACTCTTGATTTATTATTCAAAAAATGTCTTGTAGCGTGTTGGGGCTCGACCTCGGTCTGTAAAAGTGATGATAGATGAAATGATGTTTTAGGCCAGGGATTTTATTCCCTTTCAGGCCAATCTATTTATTGGGATGTGTTTAGCAAAATAGCAAGTTACTTCCTCCCTTTGGCCCTAAAAGTTGGAGATTCTGCATTGTGGCGGGGCGTGGCCTGCGGTGCCGTGCAGAGGAGGTGGACGCACCTGCACGGCATCCGCAATCACGCCCCGCCGAATTAAATATTGTACTGGGTCCTGTGGTTGTGTTGTTGTGATAGTGTTGAGCGGGCAGCAGGAGAGCTGCAGCTCTGTGAGTATTGTGGACAGCAACCGTCAAAGCTTTAATAAAAAGCATCAAAATGCCACTGGGTCTGCCGTGTATGTTTACAGTGGTGCCGAAACCCAGGACGGGAGGCACGGCAGATCCAGGGGTGGGCCAGCAGAGGGAAGAGCTGGCGAGAATGGTGGCCGAGCTGGCAGCCACGCAGCAGGAGCAGGCGGCGGTGTGGCGCCGCAGGCGGGAAGAGCTGCAGGACCAGACTGAACGCCATCTGCAGAGGATGGAGAATCTGGCGGCGCTGATCCGGTCCTGCCCGACACCACCACCACCCCCACCGGCGCTCCCCAATGGCGCTGGAGTGGAGGAGATCCAGTCCGTGCAGGCGCCCGTGCCGGCCCCCAGGTTGCGACCAGCTAGCACGCAGCCTGCCACAGCGCCTGTCCCCACACCTCGCGTAGGAGCCGCTGGGGCTCTGCAGGGCCCAGTGCCCGTTCCTGCGCCCCGGAGAGCGCACGAGCGCATGGCGGCCGGGCGCAGCCGGGAGAGGCAGCGGCGATGGCGGCGCCCGAGGAGCCGCTCCAGCCGGGAGAGGCAGCGGCGATGGCGGCGCCCGAGGAGCCGCTCCAGCCGGGAGAGGCAGCGGCGATGGCGGCGCCCGAGGAGCCGCTCCAGCCGGGAGAGGCAGCGGCGATGGCGGCGCCCGAGGAGCCGCTCCAGCCGGGAGAGGCAGCGGCGATGGCGGCGCCCGAGGAGCCGCTCCAGCCGGTAGAGGCAGCGCCGGAGGCGCAGCGAGGGGAACGTGAGCTGCTCCCACCGGGAGGGGCGGAGAAGCCGCAGAATAAGTCGGTGGTGCCCGTGCTAAGGGAGTCCGCGCCACCGAAGCCCGAGGTTAGCGGGGTGAGCAGAGCGGCCTCACTTCCACCAGGGGCCGGTGCCTGCCGGACATCTGCCCAGCTGCCTGCGAGCCGGGGCGCACGACCGTACCGACCGCGCCGCGTCCACCTGCCACGTGGCCGACCTCTGGACCAGCTTCACCGAAGCTGCTGGGTTCGCGGGCAGCCACTTGAACTCACAACTCCCCGTCGCTTGGCCAGGGCCCGGGGGCGCCGACGGTCCGGGCTGATCCCCTCTCCCGCTCGCGGTGGGGGGGGGAGTACGTTCGGCCGGATGGTTCCCCGGCCTCAGTCGGGCGATGGGGGTATGTGGCGGGGCGTGGCCTGCGGTGCCGTGCAGAGGAGGTGGACGCACCTGCACGGCATCCGCAATCACGCCCCGCCGAATTAAATATTGTACTGGGTCCTGTGGTTGTGTTGTTGTGATAGTGTTGAGCGGGCAGCAGGAGAGCTGCAGCTCTGTGAGTATTGTGGACAGCAACCGTCAAAGCTTTAATAAAAAGCATCAAAATGCCACTGGGTCTGCCGTGTATGTTTACATGCATTTACGTTGGATGGGCAGCAGGCAAAGGCGGGGACTGTGACTTACTGGCCTCTGGTATCATAAACCAGTCATTTATGAGGTTACAATTACACACAGTTTAGTTTTAACATGAAAATTTGTTAAAATAAAATATAAGCAGTAAAAGAATTTTAAACCATGTAGCACATGCTTGTTAGCTAGTTTATTCTGCTGTGGTTAAAATACAAACAAAAAGCAACATCTCAAAAATAAATAAATAAATAAATCGGTGAGTATTTTTGATAGGTGTGTTTTTATTGAACACAAGTAGTGATCAATAAAAATATATCTGTCAAAAAATTATAATCAGATGTGTTGTTAGATGTTGGTATTTACACTGAAGTGAAAAATCCCACAGTTATTCTCATCAGCAGTTTCCTGTTCAAAAATATTCTCATGGTTACTAGAGGAAATCATGTGAGGAGAACAATAAATATATATTCATATATATTCACGAATACATTTCACCTATGAAGTTTCCTTGACCAAAATCAAACCTGGAGACTCCGTCAAGTACAAAGGCTGGAAAACAAACAATTTCCTGAAAAAGGGAGAGTGCTGATCAGAGAGTAAAGCTCTGAAAGTCTTAAAAGAAAGGATGCACATTTCTCTGTTAGTGTATCCTTCACAAAAATGTGCATATATTCATGCACACTGAAATAATCTTTCAATTGTTATAAGAGTCACAATAGCATGTTGAAGACTGTTTTGGTTGAACCACACTAAAAAACATCCCTGAAATCTGTTTGTATTTCTAATACAAGATATTGCTTGTATTAGAAACAGTGTATCAAATATCTGTTTCCAGCTGTGACAAACTAAACCAGAAACCTGACTGTGCTGTTTTTGAACCGTGGAATAAGAAATTCTACGTGTAGTGAGACTCAATCTAAATGCAGTGAAAGTACTAAAACTGAATTGCTCTTTTAAAAAATTAGCTCAACATTTTAGTAACATTTTACAATATTAGGATATATACTTCACCTAATATTCACATTTTAGGTGAACCATCAGCTCTACTTTCAAAACGCTCACTACTGGTCTCCGTGCTGCAGCTCGGTTTCAGGGTGTTGGCAAGATTCTTACTGCATTAGCCATCTTTATGTAAAGTAACAATTCTTTTTTCCCATGATTTTGCTATGGTGTGCCATGTTAAACTTCCAGTGACCAGTATGAGAGAGTGTGGTAGCATATTCAACACACCTATTTCCCATTTGCACCTGGAACCTTGTAACACTCATGAGTCACATTACACTAGGAAAGGAAAATAGCTAACTGGGCACAATTTGGACATTTTCACTTAGGGGTGTGCTCACTTTTGTTGCCAGAGGTTTAAGCAATAATGGCTGTGTGCGTTATTTAAACGGGACAGCAAATTTACACAGTTATAGAAGCTGTATACTTTAATACATTGTACCAAAGTGTCATATCTTCAGTTTTGTCCCATGAAAACATAACAAAATATTTACAAAAAATTGTAGGGAGTTGCACTCACTTTTGTGAGATACTGTGTATATGAAATGTACAGATATACAAATCCAGGAAAAAAAAAGAAAAAAGGAAATAAATATGCAAATAAATAATGTTGTGTGTTTACAGTTTTGGTTATTGCATGTAAAAATAAGTATTACATAGTGGTGGTTAATAGTGGGAAGTCCTTGGAGTGCGGGGTGGAACTGTGTTATCAAGGAACCGAAAGGTGGACCCTCTCCAAACACTCCCTGTTGATGCTGAGGAGGACTAAGTGCTGTGCCTCCTGAAATCAACAATGACCTCTTTGGTTTCAATCACGAAAACGCAAACTTGACACAGAGAGATAGACAGAAAGAATATGACACATGAAAAAGAGAAGACAGTGACTTAAACTAATGGCCAGAACACCAAATAAAGTAAAGAGAACAAAACCAAGAATAACCCTTAATACAAAATCAACCAAGCACAACTCAAAAACCCAAATAATTCATATATTTAGCAAAACAAAACAGAAAAAGAAAAAGCTGGGTCAAAATTGACCCAGAACCGTGACAGTTTATTTCCTCTGCCAGCTGCACACAGCGCAGCCTCTGTGGTTTATGATGTCTTGTAGGTGGAAACTAGCGAGCCAACTTCCCGCTAAGTTTTAACTGCATTAAATTTAATACATTCGGTTTTCATGGATGCCTGGATGTTAAACTTAACTGTTACCTGGTAAAGCAGCAATGTGTATACCACATAAAATCGATTCGAGGTCAGCAAGCACAACCAGAATTCATACATAAGGTGCATTACTGATTTTTCAATGTTCCTTCATTGTTCCTTCAATTGTTCCTGCAGTCAGCTGAGACTGAAGAAGTCACTTGGATGAGTGACGAAACGTTTCTCCCACAAAACGCTACGTCCAGATGAACAGAATCAACTTTTGGAGATTTACTTTTTTGGATGATTGAGAATGCATCAACCCAATTACTGATTTTTGAGAAGATTAAAGGATTTGAAGTGGGCTTTATAGTGCAAAAAATATGGTAGTAAATCTTTGTTAAGCAAGTAACATCACTATCTTTTACTGCACATGTACACAAGCAAAATTACCTTTTCAGTTAACCGATGAAGTCAGTTTTTATGTGAGTAAATATTTTACTTATCATTATCAAAATAAATGCCAACTACCATGGCAGTCCTGTAAGTGTAATCAGACTTACTCAAGGTTGTTCAAATATCTAAAACATTTTATATTTAGCAGACAACATACAACAACAGAGTTACATATTTGCACTGAAGTCAAGAAAACTTTTGGGTTATTCTTTCCTCTTGCTTGCTTTTCAGTATCAAGGATTATTCACTCACTGTAACGGTCATGAGAGCTGAAAAGGTTTGGCTCTGCCTTCTGTTTATTTTCATTCATGGGATGTTTTAATAAAAAACAGAAAGCTGTATACAGGGCATCACACCTGTACATTCAGAAGTGAAAGGGACTAACATGACTTGTGTGTAAACACCTATAAAACTAACCCTGCAGGTTCAAGGGTAATTCCAAGGAAAGTGGTGGAGTTTAAGTGAAATTTCCATAGTAAGGTAAGGAGGAGCCACAACTTGTCCTGGCTGATTTAGGGGATTGTGGGCATTATATAAGACTGAAGCCTGTCCACTCTTACCTGCAGACCTGCTCCGTATCTACTAAACAACATGCTTCCTCTTCCGTGACTCGTTCAGGTAAAATGTTTGTTTAACAATTTAAGGACTAATGACTAAAATCAGTTATTATAGTTTTTCTTTTTCTGTTTATTTTTAGTGTTAGGTTTTGTTTGATTTTTATTAGTTTCATAGTAATAGTTCTTAAATATTCTTACTATATGGGCATTTCATTGATACTTTTTTTGTTGCAGTTATTTTCTTTTTCTTTTGAAAGAAAAAAACCTAAACAATGTTTGCATTATTTATATATATTAATATATTATAATTTGAGCTGACATGTTTTTTTTGTACTGTGTCATTTATTATAATAATCTGTCAAATTTACATGCCAACTTCTTGAAAACAGACACAAACACTGCAGCAATGCCTCCTCCTGGTGCATGCCTGAACATTATGGAGGCTCGTCACAAGCAGAAGGGATATGGGAGCATCTCCAACCCTGAGAAGTTCTTTAACCAAGACTTCAAGAACCTGAAACAGTACTGTCTAACCAAAGGAGTAAGGTACATCGATGACATGTTCCCCCCTGATGCAAAGTCTGTTGGCCAGGGGATACTGATGCCCTCCGACCTGGCCCAAGTGAAGTGGCTAAGACCTGCGGTGAGTATTTAAAGATGTTTAAACTGCACATTATAGACGCAGTATCACATTACTGCAAAGCAACATTTTTTTCCACCTTTGCCCTACCATATTTGAGATTGTCAAACTATAAATCTTCTCATGACCCAAGAAGTGAAATTTTGACTATAACAGTGCCCTCTAGCGGCTGTGAAAAAGAATTAAATTAATCCTTAAGGATTAAATAAAAGATATTCTATTAAAAATATATTCTGTTATCCTAAACAACCTGATTAGTTAGTTTGTAATCTAGTTTAAAAATAACATGAAATATTCACATTCTGAAAAGAATCAAAGCCACAAGTTTACACAATTATGATTATTCTTTCTTTTTCTGACTGACTTTTGATCATGAGCTTCTTTTCACGATAATTATTCAGTTTATTTCATTTTCTGTTATAAAAAAAGTTGTAAATTAAGGGCCATGGAAGAGTTTCATATTTCAAACTGAGACCCAAACCTCTCAAATTTGGGAATGATCAGATACTCCCTGTTTTACAGCAAATTGCTCCCGATGCTGAATTTGTGGTTGATGGCGTCTCCAGATTTGACTTTGGTCAAGGTGTACTTGGTAGGGTCATTTCTTCACTCCTAATATTTACACTCTTGTATCTGCCTACAGTCCTGATTGTTCTTTTTTGTTGTTGTTAACCAGGAAACTGCTGGTTTCTTGCATCAATCGGCGCACTGACTTTCCAGAATCACATCTTTAATCAAGTTGTTCCACTCGACCAAAAAATCAAAGAGAACTACTGTGGCATTTTTCACTTCAGGGTAAACATCATTAAACTATCAGAATAAGAGAAGTAATTATTAACTTTAACTGCTTTTCTCCACTAAACTAAAACTTAAAAGCTGTTTATTTCAGAGTTTAGATTATTTTGTCTATAATGATCAAATTTCATGAAACACAACAAGCTCACAAAACAATTGTATCTTTATTTAAGTTCTGGAGATTCGGGCGGTGGGTGGACGTTGTCATTGATGACAAGTTGCCGACGATCAATGGCAGACTAATCTTTGTTCACTCCACAGATCCAAATGAGTTCTGGCCTGCTCTGCTTGAGAAAGCTTATGCCAAGTATGCAAAGAAACATATGATTTATCTGATATACAGTGAACATGTTACATGTGGGGGATCTGTGAAAAATATTATCTACCTCTGTCAGGGTTTGTGGTTCCTACACCGACATGACTTCTGGAACTCCTTCAGAGGCTATGATGGATTTCACCGGTGGCGTCCACATGTGCGTCCAGCTGTCGGACGCCAGTTCAGATGTGTGGGGGCTGATATGCAGAGCTGGCAAATCCAACACATTGATGGGCTGTGGTACACCTCAAGGGGTAAGCACAAAAAAAATAACAATTAGATAGTCAGAGCAGTAGCCGAGTGTGGCGAGAATAAGGCACAGCGGGACCATCTTGAATTTGAGCCATCTTTATTCAGCACTTCTCACCTCAACACACACCAACCCCTGAGTCCTGTGTTTTAACACGGCGGGCGTGATTGTGGATGTCCTGCAGGTGCGTCCGCAAGGCACTGCTGACCACACCCCACCACATACCACATACAACCCTTCGCCCAATTGAGGCCGGGGAGCCATCCGGCCGAACCTACTCCCGCCCACCGGCCTCCAACCTGATGACAGGGCAGTGTCTCTTTCGGAGGCCGCCCACGCCTCCAGCGGCGACACTGGTCCGGCAGTTGGCCACCTGGCGAACCGGCACAACCCTGCAGGCACAGCCGTGAGCACCTGCTCAAAGGCGGTTGGACACTCGTCCATTGTTCCAGGACAGCTTGCGTCTTGCTCTTGGCCCGAGGTTGTGCAGGTCCCCCTGACACGGGGAGCTCTGTCTCCCTGCGTTGCTCCTCCATCGTCTCCGGCTGGAGCAGCTGCTCCACTGCTCCCGGCTGGACAGGACCCTCGTGCACCTGATCCCTCTCTGGCTGCAGCGGCTCCTCACCCAGCAGGCATGGACCCCCTAGCACCTCGTACACCTCCGGCTGGAGCGCCTCCTCCACCACTCCCGGCTGGAGCAGCCCTTCCCGCAGTGGCTCCTCTACCTCCAGTAGGTGTAGACCCTTGCATGCCTTTTTTTTTTTTGTGTCCCGTTTGGATCTTTAGCCATCAGAATTGTTTTTTTAAGGCCAAGAAAGATGCCAAGCGGATTTATTTTACCAAGTGGATCATCATGGCCTTGCCATATTGGTCCATTTGATTGACCTTTATTATAATTATGAATTTATTTTATTTTCAGTTGCTACAAACGGGACAGACATGACTGGGGGATAGGACAGGGAGAAAGAATGAAAGAAAGAGAGGGAGAGAAAGAAAACCAAAGGGGAGAAGAGACGGTGAGAAGGGGGGGAAGAAAGAAAAAAAAACAAACAAACAAAAAAAACAAAACACCTGGGTCACCTGTATGGAGAAAAAAAACAGAAGAGAAAGCAAACAACAAAGAGCAACATAATAAAAAAACAGCACCATCACAATAAACTAGCTAGCAGTAGATAACAGTAGATACTAAATAATAAACGATATTGTGCAGCACGCAAGATAGACAGCGCACAATGTGCTTTGAGGCAGCAGCCAAGAAAGCTGTAGTCCGCGTCTGTGAATACCCGTGTGTACACCTGTGTGGATCAGCATGCTTGCATTCCAAAGGTTTCTCCATGTAACGATCTGCTAGGGAGTGTGGGGGGCCACAGCCCCGTCCTCCAGGGTATGAAGCAGGTATGAAGGAGATCAAAACTCCAGACATCCAGAGGCCCCCAGAACACAAGAGACTAAGGAAGACCAACAGAGGGGCAGCCGCGCCACTGTCCCAGTAAGAGCTGAGGAGAGACCCTCGCGTGCCTTGTCTGCCGCCTTCGGCTGGAGCAGCTCCTCCACCGCTCCTGGCAGTACCAGCCGCTGCTCACTCTCCTCTGGCCGGCACGGACTATTGCCCGCCTCGTCTACCCCCTCGGCTGCTAAGGTGCCTAACGCGGCTCCCCCACCGCTTCACCACCATTGGGACACACCTGTGGGGGTGGCACCCAGGCACAGAGCAGCGCCGCCAGATGCCCAATCCTTTCCAGGTGGTGCTCGGTCTGGTCCTACAGCTCTTCCTGCTGGCGGCACACCTCCGCCACCTGCTCCTGCTGGATAGCCGCCAAGTCAGCCATCATCTGGGACAGCCCCTCCCTTCCCTGGCTCTGTCATGGGTCTGTTGTACCGCGTCCTGGGTTTCGGCACCAGTGTGGTGAGAATAAGGCACGGTGGGACCACAGATCTTGAATTTTAGCCATCTTTATTCAGCACTTCTCGCCACAACACAAACCAACCCTTGAGTCCCCATGTTTTAACACGTCGGGCGTGATTGCGGATGCCCTGCAGGTGCATCCACACAGCGCAGCAGACAATGCCCCACCACACCGAGATGTCAGGCTATTGTGTACTCCACCCAAGGTAGCTGCTAGCTTCAGATTGATTGGATGCTGCAACACATTGGAGAGCAGTAGGCAGTGGTTGTAATCGACCAGCAGGTGGTTGGTTCAAGTGCTTATTCCAAGCGCAGGTCGAACAGGCTATAACATATTCACGGGCATCTCTGTCAAGTATTTAGATGTTTAGCTGATTGCAGATATGCCAGATTTTTGTGGTCTGTCCAAACAATAAATGGTTGAGCCATGCTCTCCATCCAGTGCCTCCATTCCTCCGAAGTGAGCTTGATAGCCAATACTTCCTGGTCTCCCACATCATGATTTTGTTTTGCGGATGAGAGATGGTGAGATTTAAAATTTGTTGAGTGTTTTCCACTCAGACTGCACTTCATTATCAACTGATAAAACTGGTAACATATTCCACGAAAAATATAAAACTAAAGCAATGATGTAATGATAAAGTTACAGTTATGGAGTAATCAACCAATACTGCAAAAATGCAACCCAAGTTAGCATGCACTTTGGGATGTGCTTAATTGGGAATGTAGATTCTGGAACTAAAAGACAGTTTTGACCTATTTGACTCTGAAAGTTGCAAAACTTTTTTGTTAATCGACTGCCAGAAGTAGCTTTATGAAGACAAATAAGTGTGTCGCAAAATGTTGAAATTTGCTTTAAATCAACATAAGGAAACATTTTGCAGTCACTTTTTCCTAATGATATTATTGTATCAGAAGTCTTTGGTCATTGTAAAAAATAAAAATAATGTTCTTTGGTTGTAGGAAACATCTACTAACACAGTTTTGCCAAATGGACTGGTCCAAGGGCACGCCTACACTGTAACAGGGGTTAAAGAGGTAAAGAATTATACAGTAATCACAGTTATTATTGGAAGTGAATCTACAGTAATAACATTTCCCACAGTATGCAGTTTAGGAAGAATTACAGCAAAAACAGGTTCCTGACATATTGGACAAATATGTTAAAGGGGAGATTTAAAAACCTTTGAGCATACATTTAAATACCATAAAAACTGATTTTTCTGTTGCCTGCTGCCAGCTTATTAGCCAAGGAAAAGTTGTGAAGCTGATCCGTTTGTGGAACCCCTGGGGCAAAGGAGAGTGGGAAGGAGACTGGAGTGATTGGTAAGCAGTAATCAGCTTTGGTACTGTTTCATGAAGACATGATGGATAAAATTACATGTTGTAAAAATGTTGACATCTGCATTGTGTACTTGCTGCTCTAAAAGTGACTCAGTTACTCAAGTAGTTCTGGTCTTTAAGGGAAATTTAGTCTGAACTGTTTTTTCCAGTTACTGCTTAAACAAACTGGTGTAATATTTAGTTTAAAATGCAGGTGAAAGTACAACCTTTTAACCTATATTGAGTGTTGGGACTAACGCGTTACAGTAACTACGTTATTATTGTGGTAACGAGCACGGTAACTAGTTATTATGCCAAAATCAGGATTCAATCGTTACTGGGATTTAGATAGGGTCGTTATTCGTTACTTCTTGCGGTGGCTATCGTGGAGCTTCCACAGATTCAGTAACATTAGCAAGTGGAGGAGGCCAGCAAGTGGATGGGGGAAAGGGGAAGCAGGTGAAGCAGAGACCAGAGGCGGCCGACGGTCCGAGTGTCAGGTGAACTGAACTTCAGGTAAGAAGTTATGACCTACAGCCTATCTGGGTAAGATATAAACCAAGTTTAGGGGTAGTTTATTTTCGTTATGCTGACTTTTTCCGTACTGCGTGCTAGCTAGCATGACAGAGTTTCTATACAGCTGGGTGGGTGCTATGATGTTACTGATGTTGAACTTTATTTTGTTCATAAGGTTAATTATTAGTGTTGCCAACCGTCCCATGAAAAACGGAATTGTCTTGTATTCAGAGAAAATATCAAACGTTTTGTATCGAGGTGAAAAGGGACACAGTTTGTCCCGGACTTCAGCTAGAATGAAAAAGACACAAAGCTGGAGTTATTCTGTGTCTTTGCTGCACAGCTGCCTCTTCTTCTTTCATTCTCACCCCTCCCTCTCCTGTTGCTACTTCAATCATGAAACTGATCAATGATCAGCTGATCGGATTTTCTCTCTCGTTTGTTTATCGCTCACTTTGCGCCAGAAAGAGGAAACCAGCGGATGTCGCGCTAAACAACAGCAGCACGTTTAAGCTTGATCAGCTATTGTTAGAATACTTAGATACTTTCTAGTATCAGCTGATGTTTGCTGGAGCCACAGCTGTAAAAGCTGCTGGTCATGATATGATTTGGTTATCTGGTGAAAGGGAAACATGAAGATGAAACCAGGAGATGTCCTTACTGGATCATCAGAGCTGTGATGGAGAAACAGGTTTACCTTTTAGGTGACATGAATGAGTTGAAGGGAAGTTATGAACTGTTTCTGAGAGACAAATAACCCCAGGATCCTTTTTTACGTAGATGACAGCTGATAACTGTGCAGGGGCGGGTCTAACAAAGTGTTGCCAGGGGGGCATGTAGGGCATTAACAGGGAGAGGGGGGCACAAAGAAATACTTTTCTTTCTTATTCTCATTTAAAATGTCTAGCTTTTAATGAATAATTATCTCAATCTTACAACAAACAATTGATAGATTGATACATATATACCATCAGAACAGTGTACATTACTGTCACAACAGCGTTTGTTTTCATTCAAAGGCTTTATGATTTTTCCTATAATGGCGGCCGCTCTCTAGTCAAAATGCCCGGGACGATTTTTTTGTCCCAGTCCAGCCCTGTATGCAGCTCATCTGCAGTCTGGTGTTGCTTACATCTTCCTATTCGGAAGGCAGAATTTCCGAGTTCTGAGTACAATCGAAAGCACCACGACTGCAGTTTTTGTGTTGGATGTAAGAAGCGCACATGACACTGTGACGTAGGCTAGAATCATGGGGGTGCTCAACGACGGCCCAGGCGTGGGATTTCTCTCGTGGAAATATGCACATTATCTTTTCCTTTCTGTTGGTAGGTGGCACAGTGCACTTGTGGAAAGTAAGCAAGCTAGAAGACTGGCAAAGTTATGGAAGAAACACATTAACAAGAGAATTCTGAGTAAAACCAAATTTACTTTCCCTAGTAGCTAGTTACTTTGAAAGTAACGAGTAACTTGAAGTAACTGAGTTACTTTTGATAGAAGTAACTATTAATGTAACTAAGTTACTAATTTAAAGTAACTTACCCAACACTGCCTGTATTTACTTAGGGAATATTTTTTCTTCAATACATGCAACTCTAGATAAAAATTACCAACATAATGTGTCATCTCTTACCTAAAATACTGTCTTTAAGGTCCCCCATGTGGAACACTGTGAGTTCTCAAGACCGCCAAAAGTGCCTTTCAGTGGCTGATGATGGAGAGTTTTGGTAAGCAAATTTCGTCAAAAGAAAACTACAACCTCTGGCGGTATTATATTAATACCACCAGAAGTTGTAGTTTTCTCTTTTTTTGCTTTATTTACTCTGTACTATGTTATAAGCTTAGTGTTTTATACTTTGACATCACATCTAAATAAATTAGGAATGAGAATCTACCTGATTTTATTAACAGGATGGCATTTGAAGATTTCTGTAAGTTCTACACAGATCTTGACATCTGTGGCCTGAAACCAGACTTCATAGATGGAAAATCCTCTGCTCAGTGGAAGACCTCTGTGTACGAGGGTCGGTGGGTTGCTGGAACTACTGCTGGAGGCTGCATAAATAACAGAGGTAATTATATAGCATATACTGGAATATAGGTGTTTAAATGTTCTGTTGTACATTAAAACAATATTAATGTTTTGCTATAATACAGAAAAACACATTTGCAAGAAAATAAGATGTTACAGAAACATGCAGAAACTGATTGTCACTGAGCTCTGACAAATAAGGGGAATGAGGGAAAGGGCCAGCGCCACATACAACGAAAACATAATGTTTTAATCTTCAATTCATGTAAATAAAACATATTTTTCCTCTATGTCCTCCAGACACTTTCTGGACAAATCCACAGTATCGAATTAAGGTCGTAGGTGAAAACTCAGAGACCAATGGGGAGAAAAACATCCTAGTGTCTCTCATGCAAAAGCCTGACAAGAGGAACAGACGCCTGGTGCAGAACCTCCACATTGGTTTTTCTGTATATTTAGTAAGTATTTCTCTGTCTCTATCTATCATACATATGGAAAGAAAATGCATGCAAAAGAGAACATGAACTAACTATGGTGAAAACAAAAACCATGTTGAAGTTGACATTTTCAGAGCATGAAAATGTACTTAACCATTGTCAGAATTTGTATCGTAATGTGGAAACAACAATAATAATGTGGCAATTAAATGCAGAAAATGACAGATCAAAAATTAACTACAACATAAAAATTATTTGTGGGCTAGAAAACATTTTGTTAGCAAGCCAAGCTTTAATATGCTGTCCAAACATTCATACAGTGGCTGTGCACATGTTGAAATAACTAACTAATGACTAACTGAATTATTATTTATTCCCAACATGAACGAAATTCGTCTGACGTCCTTCAAGGTGACCAAAGAAGTAAGAAGCTAATTTATTCTATTTCATGTTTATAATACACATACAGTGGCTTGCAAAAGTATTCGGCCCCCTGGAACTTTCCCACATTTTGTCACATTACAGCCACAAACATGAATCAATTTTATT